TCATTGTCATTACCCTGTGAGGCTGCAGGGCTAAGTGGAGTCCATGATGGCGGGTTCCTATTCCGGCTTTTTGGAAACAAAAATCCATCGAACCCTATGGAAAGTCAACATGCATAAATCACTCGATACCTACAAGGTTTTAAAGGTGTGATATGCTGTTCCAGCAAAACTCCCAGGAGCTAGTAAGGAATATGGCGTCTAAGGAACTTGCCCATCCACACAAGCAGACAATAATATCGCACCTGGCGAGTGAATTGTACCAGATATGCAGCCATCCTGAATTATCCATCGGCAAGAATTTCCATCCAAATACGCCTTCTCTCCTGCAAGATATAGGAGTAACATGACCAGACATCCCCAAAAGGGCTACCAAAAGTGTCGACCTTAACTTAATTTTTGTATTCGAACGATTACGGCGCCAAACTTGTTTGCCTCGCACTTATCGAGACTGGCTAGGGTTCTGAAATGTCATAACTGGTGCCAGCACATTGGTTCTTGGTAGAGTATAATCCCTCCTCCTTTGGATATAGATATGAAGACCTTTCCTCTTCCTTTTTCCTCTGCCAAGCCGCCCCACCCAGGAAGTGGTCGGCGTGAGGCTTCAGCTGTCAGTGACAGGCTGGATTTGCTCTTAAGCTTTAATGCTGATGCGAGTTTGGGTGCTAGGGCACACCGATCATGGGATCGGGGGTTCGGTGCTTTCACATTTTGAGTGGGTATGCATAGTTGTAGGCGCCTGGTACCTAGCTCAGAAGTACTTTGTATGCATGATATATGCTGGAGGAGAAGACCTTCGTGTCGAGTTGAAACTCAAAATGGTTCTCTGATTCGTCCGACAGTAGCTCTTGTTCCAACTTAGTAGACTCTGCCAAGCATCGAGTTGTTGGGGGCCTAAGAGGCACGACGAAGGGGTTAATTGGGAGGAGACTTTGAGTTTTATCTAATCTTGGATGAAGTTTGATCGTGACATATCACCCAGCATTGCAGGATGGAAGTTAAAAGGATTGACTATCATGTTCTGGGCAAAAGCCCCACCCAAGCGAAGGGCGGCAATCATCAGTATTTGGCTTCAAGCAAATTGCCTTTAGGGCTAGGATTAGTGCTTACTACACTATGCGTTTCTGTACCAAATACAGGGCTTGGTGGAGGCTGGAGTGCGCGTGCATAATGAACAAAAGCAATTTAGAGTTTATGGGATCACGCCCAAGTGTCAACGTGAGCGCGGGTGCGGTTATTGGTGTAATAAACGCGTGAGGTTTAGATGCAAGCGTTCAAGCGCATTAAACATCCTAAACGCCCCACACCTAACCCTGTATCGTAGTCCCGGTTGCTGACTCAACGCTGGGGACGCAGATCAAATGCTTGGAGGTGGTATACGTATCTTGATGATCCTTGGTTTCGTACCCGGGGTAATTTCTATTTCTTCACAGTATCTGTGGTGTCTTTCAGAGTGCCCCCCTGCCATGTGCTATACATAAATGTCAGATAACAGAAACAATAAGCTTTTCAATACACGTTTCACAATGCCACGCGGTTTACGTGACGTAGCGAAATATGTGGGTTTAAGAACACTTATGAACTTTTTTAACCTATCATGACTTTAGGTTCTATAAACGTCGAGGGTCTATAACTGCCTGTTTGAGTCTTTCCATTACTCTCAAAGTACCCGCGACCAATACCAACTCTTTATCACTGTAGTTCATGATTATGGCACTCACTTATGGGTTCTTTGGAGCGTATTATTCGCTACAAAACTACGAGGTTGGTCGAGCATCTCAGCTAGGTGGATATCCGTGTATCCGCCGAGTACTGTATTTATCATGATGCTGACGATGTGTACAGCGGGCATCCTGCATGAACTGCAATAAATCCGGCAGCATTCTAGGCCTTTGCCGTTGATTAATTTATAGAACCTCACGTTCTATGAGGAATAAAGTAATGCCACGGAATAGTTCTTATTTCCCGAATATTAACACCCCTGTCGACCTGTACTAACTCACTCTCGTCTGCACCTGTCAAAGAACGCCTCTAAACCATGCGCAATTGCAACGGTCCCGAGAAATAGATTATCGGGCATTTGAACCACGTTACCCCATTTGAACCCCTGGCGGGCATTTAGACTCAGATGCCCCCAAACGGCCCCCTCATGCTTCACGGAACATTTGGACCAATCGAATTCATGTTTCTACATTTTTGTAGTAATGATTCTCTCATCAATATATCGGTACATGGTTTGAGAGTGCCGATCTCAGCGAGGCCGGAGAATAAACTCCAGGTTTTCCCCTTCACTCTCCACTATATAACCTCCCGGCCCGTTGTTCCCGTCGGTATATATGCACGGATATCCCCGAATCCTGGAGTCAACAAGCTTAAATCCAAGGAAGAGAGTACCTTGCAGAAATTGGACAACCACGCCCGGTAGTAAACACGATCTCCGCACGTACGCACTGTCTACTTACTGTTCGCGGCGGTCCGCCCGGGAGGTGGTCCGAAATTTGGCCGTCGATCCTGTTGCCCTGGGCCGATGTTTTTTCTTCCCTTGGAGGGTACCTCAATTTATATTGCTGCCGATAACCATAAAGAGAAAACTAACTTGCATCCTCCATGCAGTTCTCTATACGCAGACCCTTGTGGATAGGATACAGGAGCGAGCATAAGCCTGAATATTCTAATTATCAGGCGGTCACAGCAGTTGAACATCACGGCACTTTTGATCCGATGCCCTGATCCGGACATGGAGTCCAAATTGAAGCTTCAAAGTATCCAAGAGGCATGAGAGTTCATATAGATTAGTAGAGATATCTGGGCCATTAAAGCTCTATATAAACTCGCAATTTCCCCATTTTGAATAATACTGTCTCATCACACATCTCGACAACTTTCTAGTCTTCAAGCCAAGCATCATCAATAATATCCACCATGGTCCGTTTCAGCACCCTCGCCCTCGGAGCTCTTCCAATGCTCTTGTCAGTCCAACAAGCGGCCGCTGTTAGTGGAACTGGTAGCACTACCCGTTATTGGGATTGCTGTAAGCCCAGCTGTGCCTGGAGCGGAAAGGTGTGTGATAGTATTTGCTACTAGTAATGTTTAACGGTTTTACTGATCAGATATCATGAATGAAACCAGGCTGCAGTGACATCTCCCGTCAAAACCTGTGATGCAAACAACAACGTCTTGGCAAATGTCGACGCAAAGTCTGGCTGCGACGGCGGAGTCGCCTACATGTGCAACAACCAAATTCCATGGGCCGTGAGCGACACTCTAGCCTACGGATACGGTGCCGTCAGAATCACGGGCCAGACCGAGTCTGACTGGTGCTGTGCTTGCTATGAGCTCACTTTCACTTCTGGTCCCGCCTCGGGCAAGAAGATGATTCTTCAGGCCACAAACACTGGTGGTGATCTTGGGAACAACCATTTTGATATCGCTAGTAAGTTTTTCATAACACTTGACAGATGTCTCACTGTGTTGCGTTGCATTGCCTAATGTGGATTGATTGGTTTTAGTGCCCGGCGGTGGTGTCGGTATCTTCAACGGATGCACCGCCCAGTACGGCGCGCCCTCAGATGGCTGGGGCCAGAGATACGGTGGTGTTAGTAGCAGATCTGAGTGCGACGCTCTTCCTGCTGCTATTAGGGATGGTTGCTACTGGCGATTCGATGTATGCACCCCATCCTGACATTTTGGAATTGTAGACTCGTATTGATCGCTGACTGATACTGTTTGATTAGTGGTTTGGTGGATCTGATAACCCGACTGTCAGCTTCCAGTCTGTTACCTGCCCGGCGGCATTGACCGCCAACACCGGGTGCACTCGCACTTCGTAGAGCGGGAACGTGGGGTACGGGTACTGCAAGTAGAGTACATACATACATGACATGATGAAGTTTTGAGATGAGATGAGCTGTACTATAGTAGATTGACACTTATTCAACGATGGCAATGATTTGTACTCTAGGTTGTAAATAGCCAACCCGTGAAGAAAGAATAGCAATCAGAATATGCCCTAAGCGTGCATTGCATATGCGATTCTCCCTCCCCGTACCACAGAAGCTCGCGATCTCGGTAAGCGAAGTTCAAATCAGTCTATATCAGATTTGATCGGGCCAAACATCGAGTTTGGTTTGCACAAGTCATGCATCAGATGATAAGTCTGGTATATCGGGGCTAGTAGAGTATGTACATGGACATGTAGTGTACGCTCCCCATTCTGATCACGAGGATAGCGAGAGCCCATCATCAGTCCATTCTCACTGAACAATTAACCATCCAGCTCCTCATCCCGATGGAATCGGAATCTCAGGCGGATACTTGCAGCACCATGTAATGTAGGCAGAATACACTCCACCCCACAGTCACAATGTACTCCACCGAAATGCGGGGTTTAGCCGGTCTGTAGCATGTAGGTCAAGAGGACCGACAAGAAGAGACCTGCAGATATCACCGATTTGATTCAATCATGATCTCTTGGCGGCTAAAACTCATGTACTAGGGTGTGTGCAAAAGTGATCAGAACTCGATTTTTAGAGGTTGACGATATGCAGGTAATTGCGGGTCCAGTAGGGTGGGAATCCAATCAAGGGCGCCGAGACTTTTGTATTTATAAGGGGGAAAAAAGTGATCAGAACTTTTCTATTACTATCTACTCTAGTAAGGTGTGGCATCCCCGCCAGCTGCAATAACAGCTGCCAGTCTACGGGGCATGCTTTTTACTAAATTGTCTAACATATCTCTAGTTATAGTATTATCCCAAGTATTTTTTAAGACATCCTTCAATGTATTTAAGTCAGAAATTCTGCCAAATGTCTCTCCCAATTCCGTCTCCATATGTGCCCATAAGGCTTCAATCAAGTTCAAGTCAGGAGATTGCGGGGGCCAGTCAATACTATCCATATTATTTCTTTCCCTGCAGAGAATAGAGTATTTTTTGTGCCCAGGTGCACCATCTTCTACTACTCGTGCCCAGCCATATTCCTCGCAGCATTTGTGCCAAAAGGGTATCAAAAGAGGGTCTAAAATGGTTGTAGTATATGATGAAGAGTCAATTTTGCTGCCAGATGGCACAAAATATATATCTGACTTGAGTTCAGGGCCACAGAACGCTCCCCAAATCATGACAGATTGCTTGCCTGACTCCCATCTCTCGTCGATACAGTCGGGATGATATTCCTCATCTGCTCTGCGTATTACCCATGGACGATGGCCAAAGCCGGCTGTGTTGAAGGTAGATTCATCGGTCCATACCACCCGCATCCATTCTTCGTAGGTCCAGTGCAATCTCTCCTGACACCATTGTAACCGTTTTCGCTTATTTATATGCCGAATACCGAATCTATATATTTATTAGTGTCTATGATAATATATTCCTAATTTAAATGACTTACTTCTTCCTTGGAACGCGCTTGTGATAGCCCATAGATGCCATTACGTCCCTCAAAGTTCTTACTGAGCATGCAATTCCCATCTCTTGTATTATATCATCCCACATCAAACGCCTAGTCCTTTTATCTCTGGTGATAAACAGCCGAAGCCTCTCTTTCTCCTCTGCATTGAACACGACAGGCCGGCCTGTTCTAGGCCTATTTGAAGGGGTCCCGTTGGATTTTGTCCTAGCATATATTGATTGACAGGTTCTGAAATCAATACCTGTATGCTCTTGTATCTTCTTCCATGTCATCTTTGCATCATCTCGCAAAGTCATTATTCTTAACCTCTCATCACGAGTGGTTTCCTTTCTGTAAATATTGCTCGAAGCATGGTGCTGAGCCCGGGTGCCTTTGTTCTTCATGGAACGGAATGGACAAAACAGGACGAACAGAACAGGACGGACAGGACAGGACAGGACGGACAGGACGAACAGGACGGACAGAACGGGACAGAGCAGGAAAAGACAGAGTTCGTGATGTTTGATAACAGTTCGGTGTCGGCCTTCTCTATTGCCATGACACTCATGAGGTTGAACTCAAACGTGGCCGTCTGTGGCTACAGCCAATGATAATTTGCAGGCCCGATCCGCCAACCACGACGGCTTCTGATCACTTACCCACAACACCCGGTACATTGCTGCACAAACAAACCGGGGCGCCATTATTTTTTTTTACACTGATGACATCGATACTCTGCTCTACTCTGCCGCCGCGCCCGCTGTTGTTGTTATTGCTGTTGTTGTTGTTTTGAGTCGGCGAGGTGGAATATTCTCTCGAGTGAGTTAGACGCCATCATGTGTTTGAGACAGCGATTGAACTGGTTTGATTCCCGACAGCGTGTCTTGCCTGCAACGGAGACGTAGAGAAACAATCTTGCGAGAAACAGCCAGCGCGTCATGATCTGATCAGTGCTTGCGTGTGAAATATGTTTGATGATCGACCGTTTTGTTTGCGCACGCGAGGGAGATCTGCAGGGCACGTGCGGCACGTGTTTTGATTGGCTCCGTGGGGGTTTGGGGCGGGGTGTGGGGGCAGCTGAGGGCAGTGAGTGATTATTTGTGATTCGCTTATGGGTGTTTGTAGATACGGGGAATCGAGGATCAGAGGCGCAGTAGTAAGCGGTAGAGCATGATCGGAAAGAGGTTAGGATGCTCGATTCCCTACTCTGTGCTGTGTGACGCTGGTGCTGTACTCCATATCTAGAGGGTTCTACATAGCTGTAGTATCATATCGGTAGTCAGTCAGCGGGAGGACTGGCTGGGCTCGATGCTGGTATGGTGCGTGTCAAGGCGGGGAACGCGTGGGATCCGTTGGGACCGGTATCTAATGGTGAACCCCGGGTTTGCGGGGAAAGGGGGCGGGGTTTTCCCGGGTTTGAATCGATCGTATTCATGCGGTCTTGAGCTTATATCGCGTGTGGGGAGCGAAGTGGGTAAGAGAATAAGTGAATGTGGTCTGACCTACAGCCCATTGAGTTATGGGCTTTGGGTCTATGAAGGTGATGGTAGTGTATGTTAAGGTTGGGTCCGTGTCCAGGTCTGGCGGGGATGGAGGGTGGGCGGCCGTCTGATAAGGTCCAGCTAGCTGGGCGGAGGGCAGAAGGTACACGGGCGGTCATAATGTAGCTTGTTGAGAGGTAGGGTGAGCTTCTGAAGTGATTTGATTCGTTAACCCAGCTATGCAGCTACATATATACATCAAGTCGCGGTTCAGACAGGTTAGTACGAGGTTTGAACTGACCATATTCCAACTCTTCAGGTTTCAAAACCGTTCTTTTGAAAGGCCGGACATCCAACATCAATATATGTGAAGATACGCCGTGGTTTTAGTTTTGATTGATTGTCTCATCAGGAGTAGAGAGAAGAGTACCGATGGATTAAAAGAAGAGGAGAGAAGGTTCCTTTATAGTCACAGCGAGAGAACAGCTTGTTCACAAGTACAGATAGTCCGAAGCAAAGATGTACGTACGTACATGAGGTTGTCCACAACAGCCGCAATCACTTACTACGAATAACAGTTTTACCAAGCTATATGAGTACATGCATCCTCCCGGCTACATGCACGTATGGTTCGATAACGAACGAGTGATAACTCGTGGTTCTGTCTATATCCATCAACCGCGCCCAACCCACCAACCCCACCCCGCCCCTACCCTGACCGCTCTACTTATGGATCCGTTCATGCTAGATAAGAGCACAGAAAATCCCTTTAGTCTCATATCCGAAGAAGAGACACAACGCGTGGTCTGTGGGCAAGTCGACTTGTTCTGTAGGAGTAGTAGTTGTCTTAGTCATAGGATATCACTCGATACCGGAAAATGTCGGTTGCCATCTCTATCGACCTGAGGATATGCTTGACCGTGTGCCTGTAGCTAGAATTTGTAGCCTCTATCTATATATTCTCACTTGAGATTATAGCGCGGAATGGGGCGATCTTATTAGTTTTCGCCACGAGTATCCATCTCTCGGCTCCATTCTTTCGAGGTCAATGAGAAGAAGTGGGGAAGGTATGGAGATATTTTTTGGCGGCCGTGAGGTAGTGCTGAGAGCTCGGCGAAGTATATGTAGCGTAGGACTGCAGTTGACACGTTTAAGCACCGGGTGTCCTCGCCAGGCACCAACACTCGACTTGCCAGCCAGCCAGAACACATGTAATATTTTGCTCCCTGCACCTCCATACCAAAGCCGGAGCCGACCACATTTTGGCTGCGGTGAGTCTGATAGACGAGTAGAGCTACGATTCATGATTGCAAATGACGGTAGTGCTATAGTTATCCCCGCGTTATCTGGATAGAGTGGCTGGGATTTGTCGGTCAATCAGGTCCCGGGGAAATTAGTAATGGGCTCTACGTTCTCTGCCTCAATATTTGGTTATAACTCTGTCTCTCACAACAGGCCCAGTGTGTGTTTGGTACCTATATAGGCGTTGTGACTAAAGACTATGCCTTCGGATCCCCCTGAGTCGGGGGAGGTTTCGTGCATCGTAAGACTTTGCTAATCTGTGGGTCGTAGAAACTTTCATCAATCAATGCCTCTGGAGGAAGTACATGTACCTCAACTACCGTTAATTCCGTAAACTAACCGGCTTTCCTACCGGCCTGTTATAATAGAATATTGCTAAATCAAAAGGGCGCGCATGTGAATCGTAAACCCAACTCTTATATGCATACACTCCAACTCCATCTACATCAAGAGGGTGACATTGCTGATGCAACGTAATTGAACTTGCGTAAGACTTCGGCTGTAAAGTATCGGACAGATTGAGTCCTAGTGTCTTCCTGGAAGAACGTCGAAGATTGCCCGTACACTAGCTTATACAATGAATACCGCTCTAGTTCACTGCCAGTTCCATTGTATGCATCATGGACCCGTTTATTGTAGGTCCATAGTACATATTTTGGCGAGGAGATCAAGAAACAGCGAGATATTTCCCTTTCCGGGCTGTGGTGGGGCCTGAATCATAGCCGCTCACTCGATTCTCAAACGAGACGAGATTTCTAATGGAGAACGATACCTTAATCTAGCGGGCGGAGACCGCTTTGAAGTGTGTAAAGTATTTCGGGCTATAGTTTGTGTGTGTTGCTGTCAATTGTAATAATGTGACTTTGTTCCAAGTCGAAGTCTAGAGGCCTCAATTGCCTGATGGTTGTAAGTGTCTATGGCCAGGCCATTCGACGTCCAATAATTAATGTCCAGTCCGAAATTGATGACCCAGCCCAGTCACTGTCGTAACGCGGGCTATTCGACTTTCGGGGCAAAATACCACCAATAATCCTCTAGCCACCTCTGTAGGATTCGAAATCCCTTTTTCAGACCATTTATCTGACTGGCCGGACTAGTCCAAAGTTAACCGATCGAGTCCAGCGCTAGATATCTATAGCCTAATAAATACTCTAAGCGAGTGGTAAATTATGGCCAGAACTGGCCATTGAGACCTTTGGAACCTCAACTTAAATTCAACTCCAACTGCTTCGTGAGTAGCGTGCCTATTCATGATGTGCTTTCATGGGTGGCAAACATCAATTGCAAGATTCCAGCTGGCCCCTCAAAGCACCCCGCCAAGTGCTAACTGCCAGGCGGTAATGTAGTGAGCACGTCCAGGCACATTGCTTTGTTGGATACTGACATGACATGCATCATTGTCCTATTTATATCTTCGTATCCTGATATTGTATCGTATCGTATCGTATCGGAGTCTTCCCCAGAACCCTGTCGGTGGAGCTTCGATAAAGGTGTCTCAGATCCCGGAATGGTCTGAAAATTGGTCCAGTCGAGAAAAACTGTGGTAAATGGGTGTTTGAAGAAAATGAATGAGCTACCACGCTTTGGTACCAGTCTTGGCAGATATGATCTAATCTAATCTTAATCCTAAACCTAGGGTTAGGGTTTATGATCTAGACTGACATTGTGTGCGAAACTGACTCCAGGACTGTCTTTTTATATTACTGGAGCTACATGTGTTCCTATGTCAATAAATACTTCGACCTTTACGTCGATCTGCTGCCATACACGCATGTATCGTATGTATGATCATTTTCTCAGCTCTAGGAGATGATGGCTTGTCAGGTACGGGAGTGTGGAGGCTTAGTCATCGGCCAATCGGGAACTTGTCCTCGAAAGCGATCCAAATTAAGGACCCACGCACATCATACCCTGGCTGAGGAAGACGTCGAAGAAGAAGAAAGGTGGACGGAAAATTGTCCCTAGTCTAACCTCTTCCCCCTTTTGTCCTTGTCCTACCACCTGTCAATCCGACAAACCTCGAAAGCCTCCTCCCCCATCATCATCATTACTTTTCCTTCCTTTCTTTTCTTCCATTCTCGCCCTTGCCCTTGCCCAGGCTTCGGCTTTCTGTTATACCCCGAACTTTTATTTATTGTCTTTTCGCGGGCTGGCATCTCGCCCCTGCTTTCTCTGTTTTCCTCATTGTGTAGTCTGGTATATATCTCTCTATCCAGCTTCTGGAACATCTGTGCATGTACCTTTCTGCCCGACTACCTGCCAAGGTGCTGCTGCCTGCGAGCTCTGAAACTGATTCTCCGCCCGTCTTGACAGTTACTCGTTTATATCCACAATGGCCGCTCGCGCACTGCGTCGTTCCAATCCTATAACGCTCCTGCTGGGGCTCTTGCTCTTCCTGGGCTTTCTAATCTTCATGATAACCCCTTCATCACCATCTGTTCCTAGGGTCGGGTCCAAATCGCGAAAGAGCTATTCGCCCTACGACGCACCGCCGGTAGTTCATTACTATCTCAACAATCTCACAACCTCCAGCGAACCCATCAAGAACCGCGAAAAAGTGCTACTCCTTACACCCCTAGCTCGCTTCTACGATGAGTACTGGGCCAATCTTATGAAGCTCAACTACCCACATGATCTTATCGAGCTCGGGTTCATTGTTCCGAAGACACGCGAGGGCAATGCCGCTCTCGTTAAGCTGGAGGAGGCGGTGAAGAAGGTACAGACTGGCAAGAAAAAGGACAGATTCTCGGGGGTGACGATCATCCGCCAAGACTTCGACACCCCTGTGACCCAAAGCGAGAAGGATCGCCATGCACTTGCTGCGCAGAAGGCACGAAGAGCTGCAATGAGCAGAGCTAGAAATTCGTTACTCTATACCACTCTTGGAACCGATACCGCCTGGGTTATGTGGTTGGATGCAGATATCATTGAGACCCCCCCCACTCTCATCCAGGACCTTGCCAAACACGATAGGGCTGTCATTGTTCCGAATTGCTTCCAGCGCTATGTCGAGAATGGTGTCAAAAAGGTCCGGCCGTACGACTACAATTCATGGCACGAGTCGAATGACGCCCTGGACATGGCAGCGAAGATGGGACGTGATGAAATTATCTTGGAAGGATATAAGGAAATGGCGACCTGGAGGTCATTGATGGCCTATGAGAGGCAGGAAGGCCAAAGTATCCACACTGAGACGACATTGGATGGTGTTGGTGGGACGGCATTGTTGGTTAAAGCGGAGGTGCACAGAGATGGGGCTATGTTCCCGCCCTTTGCATTCTACAACCTCATCGAGACCGAGGGTTTCGCGAAGATGGCAAAACGATTGGGACATCAACCATATGGTCTGCCGAATTATTTGGTAGGTTTCTTAGCTCATCTGTATGGGAAAATTCGAACTAACAGGCGATAGGTCTACCACTATAATGAATAATTAAAGAATTTCGTATCATGATTGACAGCCCTGCCCTGAATTGTCGTCAATATATATTGCCAAAAATTTAAGTTGCAATTTTGTCACTTTGCGGGTTGCGTTATCACTCGGCTGGCTTGAGGGATGGTTGTTTTTTCCCTTGGGGCTTTAATTAAGCCTCACATTTTTCAATACCCAATTGGCCTGTTACTCTGTTTCCATAATTTTTTCAATTATTATTCTTTATATTTATTTTCGGATTGCGTTTCATGGATTTTTCTTTCTCTTACTTAGTTATGCTCTTAAAAATGGTGTGATGGTGTGTATAGGGACATGTCGTTTTTTTTTTTTTTTTGCGCTTGTTTGGGTTTCGATTGACAGACTTGGTGAGGGAATAGTTACATAGAAATCGGGAGGTGGAGTGGAGGTACTTGTACCAATTCAATTCGCGATCAGGTTCAAAAAGCCGATACCGAACATAAGTTGATTATCACCATGATAGCCGGCGTGCCCGTTATTAACTACATGCAATCGGAAGTGTCGAGGATCGGAGTGGTGCCTTTGTTAACCTGATCTTCGACTGATTCCGCGGACTGTCCGAGTCCTGAGTTATTAACCGGACTCCCAAATCTCTCAAATGACCGAGTCCCTGGGTCGGGTCTCTAGACGAGACTGAATCACTGACTTGACTTGACAAAGTCCACGCACGGGTCGAGTCGAGTCAATTCTTGCAGACTTATATAGTCGATCGGCGACTCGAGATCAGTCATGCTAGAATGGGGTGATGAGGGGTAAAGAAGGAATCCCGCCTCATCATTTCCACGGCCGACGAGGTGTATCACGTAATAATAATACTTTCCTCTGGTGGGTTTTTTCGTGGTCTTGTTCGTTTGTCAGAAACTTCTCGCGGTTGACAGAAAGTATTTTCGGCTCCATTACCCAATGCAGACGTCATCACAAACTGTCACTCGCGGCTGTCATCTGCGTATGCTACAACTGTGGACTTATGGCGTAGTCCTGTTGATTCCGCCATCGTCTCTTCTCTCATCCAATCGTTTGGTCTTGGAACACGTACTCTACTGCCCTGCAACACCGCCATAAAAAGAGGGGCCCGCTATCTGATGGTGGGGATGCTTCTGAGTGGCTATATACAGCGCTGTAGGAACACTGCTAGGCTTGATTTTCGATAGTCGGGATGCCGTATATAAATATTGACCCCGGAGTTGTTGCTCGTTCGTGCCGGCCTAGACCCCGCCGAGAGAGCGGGGGTTCCTGTTCCCCTCACCAACCCAAGGAGCGGGCAGCATCCTCCGCGTAACTGCTTCTTACGCATTTGCTCAGCGCCAATTTTAGAGCAGACTATGAAGGCTATATAAGAACAAGGCCGTGTCTGCCCGCACGAGGGACCTCCCAACCCAGTCCCCCAAAAAACCTTTCACTCTTTTCACTCCAGTCGTTCATTTAATGAAACCCGATTCACCGCTAGCCCTCTGGGCTCTGGCAGGCCTTTGTGGCACTGGTATGTGCCGACCGCGAGTGCGTTTTATTCTTACTTACCTGGGCCAGTGCTAACATCACCACTGATCACTCGCAGCCTTGTCGATCCCGCTCGCCCAAACACCATACTACGCCTCCCGCTTCCCCCAGCACCCGCAGAACCTTGGGTATGGCGGCGACTACCCAAAGTACTGGCAGGGCGAGGCCTACAACCCCGAGATTGCCCCCGGCTACAACGGTCCCGCTGCTGCCGTTGCCCCCGAGACCGAGAGGAAGGAGCAGCGTCCTAACTTCACCGATACCAGGTATCCGGCCCGTGAGGCCATCAAGCACTACTCCGGTAGTGGCTTCCCTGGAAGCGGTCCATCAGAGGATTCTGGCAACGGCCAGAACATCAAGATCACCAACGACACCCCAAGTGACAATGACAAGAGTTATACCCGCATCACCAAGGGCCCCGGCGTCGGCCTACGCAAGAAGAAGGCCTCTGGTGCCGCTAAGGCTACCGAGGATGGAGCGGAGGAGCCTGAGCACCGCTCTGGCGGCCTCGAAGATATCGCTGATCTAGCCACCCCCAGATTCGACGGCAGCATCCCGTCCGAGGAGCAGGAGGAGCAGGACGGTAACTGGGGCTCCTTCACATATGGCGTCGTCAGCGACTCCCTCGTGTACCACGACCCCTATGAGAACCGCCATGACGAGTTCGAGCGCAAGACCGACGCCCTCTCGAAGATCGAGAGGATGATGGGCAACAGTTTCGTCGGCTCCTCCGACGCCGTCGAGAAGCGTTCTTTGGGAAAGCGTGACTGGCCTGAGCATATCCAGGAGAAGGCACTCAAGATGATGGACAGCGCGGCCACCATGCAGACCAAGGGGCAGAAGACAATTGACAACGACCCGCAGTACCAGGCGTCCTTGAGGGGCCAGGAGGCCCCCGCCCCCGAGCCTGCTCAGAACGCCGGTCCAAAGAACACCTTCCCTGTCGGCCCGAACTCCAAGAAGGCACAGGCCGCACAGGCTCCTCCTCCCCCTCCCCCGCCAGCTCCGGCTCCCCCTGCAGAGAGACAGCTCGGCTCTGGAGGCGGTGGACTCGTCCCCCCGCACAAGGCCGGGAAGCTCGCAAAGACCAAGGGGCAGGATCTTCCTGCTCTTGGTAACCCAACACCTCCCGAGCGCCAGCAGCAGCAGCAGCCTTCCCAGCCTATGGGCCGTCAGCAGGGAAACATGCCGAACCAGGGCAAGGGCAAAAACCCACAGAGACCTCAGGGAAGGCAGCCGGGAGCACAGAGGCCCAAGAACAAGGCCCAGGGAAAGCAGAGGCCCCAACAGGAGCAGCCTAACCTCATGAAGCGTCAGATTGCCGTACCTGCAGGGTAATCTTCACGAATCCTCACTCGGACGTGTTAAAAAAAATGCTAACATTGACAGACCCGGATATCCCCCCGGAACAATGATCACCCGCATCACCCGCCCTGCCGCCGCCCCCGCCCCTGCAGCTGCAGTCGCAGTCGCAGCTGCGGCCGCGCAAGCCCAGGCTTGCGGGCCTGCTGATGGACAATGCCGGCAGGTCAGCGACGGCCAAGTCCAGGCCTTCCCGATCTCCGCCCAAGAGGCGCAAGCCCAGAAGGTTGCTCCCGTCCAGTTCGCCACGGTTCAGCAGGTTGCACCGGTCCAGCAGGTTGCACCGGTCCAGCAAGTCGCACAGGTCCAGCGTGTTGCTCCCGCGCCCGTCCAGTACCTCGCACCGGTCCCAGCCCCAGTCCCGGCCCCGGCCCCGGCCCCAGTTTACATCCAGCAGCAGCAAGCTGCCGCCCAGGTCGCCGCCATCCCGGTGACAAGGGAGCAGGTCCAGCAAGTCAACTACAACGCCATCGTCCACCCCGGTGAGGTCATCTGCCCCCAGGGCAAGCCGTGTCCGCATGCCGCGCCTGTCTTCGAAGAGAGGGAGAGGACCTTCCTTAAGCCCGTACAGAAGGTGACTGAGGTTGAGGTTACCCGCGAGGCTGTCCGCGCGGTTCCGAAGCTCGAGCCGGTCGAGGTGACCCGCTATGTCGATGTTGAGAAGGAGGTGCAGGTCGAGAAGGTTGTTGAAGTGTGCGAGACCTGTGTTGAGAAGCAAGTCGAGGTCCAGAGGCCGAAGGTCATTGAGGTCTGCTCTGAGTGCAGGGAGGTCGTTGGTGACTGCAGCTGTGCGGGGGGCGAGGGTCATCATGAGAGCTTTAGTAAGTCCGTTTCGAACGGAGAGGAGACTATCTCGTATAAGAGCGATGAGGGAGATGCGTACCTGGCGGGACCAGTGAGCACTCCGGGAGGCTTGGAGGCATTCTTCAGACAGAGGATGCCAGAGCACTTTGATAACTAAATATCTGTCTGTACCAGTGAGCTGAGCTTATCAGCGAGTAGGGTGACGGTGAAGTTATAGATATTAGAATTTGCTTTTTTATTGCCGGATGAACTTATTCTTTTGAAAAGGTCAATGATATGGGAGATATGATGTTATAGATATCAGTCACAGCTGTAGAAATCATAGAACGGACTGCATGCATGGAGGGGGGTACCGCAGCTTTGTTCTCGGTGTTTTTGTCCCCCTCTCCATGCACACAGTCTGTTTTGTCATTTCGTAAATGGTCTGTTGAGTGGAGTCTTGCCGCATTGTGTGTTTCCTTCAAAAGATATTTCTTTTCATTTTTGGCTAGTATGCTTTGTATGAGAAATGATAACGAATTGTATATTGTCTCGAAACAACGAGCTAGATTTTCCCAACCTTGAAATAAAAAGTAAAATAAAACCCAAAGAAATACGAAAAAAAAAAACCAGGTGGTATCTTATAACTAACCCAAAACCAGAGACCCAAAACCTCAAACCTCAAAACCCATCCGCCTCAAGCCCAGCAGCACTCTCATCTGCCAACCTCTTATCATTCATATCCCACCACCACTTATGCGTCGGCTCATCGATCCCTCTATCCTCCCACGGCTTCGGCGACAAAATATAGTGCACATTCTTGACCTCCTCATCCCTCCAAATCTCCTTATGGCACCACCGCAGCGTCTTCAGCGCATTATACGTGTACGGCAACGGCGCCCACTGCCCCGCAAACACATCCGAGATCAACGACTGATCCGAAAAATCATAGTGCCCCGTCTTCTCGGGGTCCAGCAGCGCGCCCACAATCCTCTCGTAGATCTCCATCGACGGGCTAACGACCTGGAGGCCACCGTTGCACGTGCCGAGCCCCGTGCTCGCCGGCGCGCCCTCGCGCTGCGCCGTCTCGGGGTCGCCGTGCTGCGACGTGAACCCGCAGTTGGACGGAACCCAGTCCGAAGGGTAGTAGCTCAGCTTCATGGGGTTGCACACGCAGGCGTGGCCCGCGGCGAAGATACGGTTGCTGGCGTCCAGCGGCACGTCCATGAGCTCGTCCATGTTCTTGAGGACCAGCATGTCGGCGTCCAGCTGCACGACGCGCTCGTACTCGATTAGGGAGAAGGGCTGGAGCTTGCCTGTTGTTCGCCTTCGTCAGTGAGTGTCAGGGAGGGAGGGAGGGGAGGGGGGGGAGGGGGGAACTTACTCCAGCAGTCGTAGAAGCGCGGGGTGTTGCTGAAGTCCTTGGATACCCTGGGCAGCAGGTATTCGATGCGCATCTTTGGGATGCCGCGGCGGTCGAGGGCGGCGTGGCCCGCGGGCTCGAGGCTGTCGGTGTACAGGACGAGCAGCGGGTATTTGGTGCCTGCGCGCTTGAATGAGTAGTCGAGCAGCAGGAGGCCGCTGAGGTATTTGGTGTTTGTCAGGAGGACGGTCCAGACTTGGTAGATGTTAGCAGGGTTTGGATCACGGCAGCTGCTGATGGCTTATGGCTGTATGGGGAGGTGCTGCGGATATGGGGGTATGGCTTTTGGCTCGAGAGCTCGAGTACTTTGGGAGGTACATTCGAGCTGGCAAGACCTCGAGACTATTGAATGGGTAGGAGAGAGGGGGGGCATACCTTTGGGCGAGTCAACGACTCGTTTTCGAAGCTCGGTGGCCATTGTGCAGAATCGGTATAAGCTAGTTTGTCAATGGAGACGAAGAAGGTAGTATAGAGGAGGGGATTCAATCGAAATGGGAGAAGGATCTTGAGTTTATATACCAAACCTTTGAGTTAGCGCGGGGCACAGAGCGGGGTAAATTCCTGCGGATCAATGCATGCAAACACGGCAGCGCGGGATAATGTATAGTTCGGCATTGTATGTATAACAAGCTAATCTCGGTGGTTCCGGTAGTTGGGAGGTTTTTCGTTTTTCGCGCTGCATTGCAATTGGTATCGCTCGACAGGGTCCACAGGGTCCACATGCTCGCTTATCGCGGAATGATCGATCACCCTTGCTTTTTTGAGCACCGAGTGAGAATGTATGAAAGGGCGTCTGTACATGTCTAGAAAAAGAAGAAATATATTTAATTTTTCGCAAATTGAAATAGGACCCGTAAATCTGAGTGATCAAGCCACGCTTAAGCTGCCTTCCCCCAAACATCAAGTTTACCAAATCAGACAAGAGAGAGACCCCAGTACCAAACAGAAGAGGAAGAAAAATACATGTATGTCTTTTTGATGCATTCCATCTCGATAGATTCGAAAATGAACATGTAACCCTTAGAGAAGCCACATGATGATTCCAGCAAAAGACAGCAACCCAACGGCATTCAACTCAGCAATTCCCCCAGCTCCCCCTCTCTCCGCCGTGGCCGTAGGCTGGTCGGTAGCAGTCATACTTCCCGTGCCAGTAGTAGTTGTAACACCGGTTTGAGTGGCAGCGACCTTCCTCGTGTACGTGATATCGAAGGTCTCCGTGACGTTTCCACACCGGGCATCGGTAGCCGCTGGCACCGTCGTGTAGGTAGTATTGCCATTCATGACGGTGTAGGTCGCATTCCCGGAAATCAACGGACACGCAATACTAGTCGACCTGGAGATCATGGTGGTGACGATTTCGTCAACCAGGGTAGGGGTGGGAGTCGATTTCTTGGTGCTGGTGCTGGACACGGAGGTGAGGACTCCATAGACTGATGGGAGCTCTGGGGCACTGTTCCCAGCGAGGTCAACCCCGGCGGAATCGCAAAGCCCGTGGGCGTAGACGAATGAGCGCTGGATTGTATCCTGGTCCTTACCTGTTGGGCTCCGATGTTAGCGGCTGCAGTGGGATCAAACGCTGATGAGTGCAGATAGACAAATGGAAACAGGCCGGATACGCACATTTCCCGGAGTTCAAGACACACTCAACAGTGGCTTTCATGAAGGTGAAGTCTTCACACAGACAGGGGACTCGTGTTGGGTCAAGTGATTTGTTAGGCCCAACACAGTCGGTGATCCCAGAATCAAGGACGAGGTCAACGCATTCGATGACACAGTCCGTGGGACTGAGTGCGTCTTGCGCAATGATGCCGGTGACAAACGTGAGGATGAAGAGGAACTTGGGGAGCATCATTTTGCGTGGAGTGGATTGGCCGAGATGAAAATTAATGAGGCCAGATGGATAAAGCTGCGAAACAAGATGTGAGGGAACTAGTACTGAAATTAGGAGATCGAGGGATGTGTGAAGGAGTGTGGGGAAGTTCGGAGAAGGGAAGGATGGGAGAGGGAAAGGGGGCTAAAGAAGGTAGCAGGTTGGCTATCGGAGGGGAGTCTGATGGGCACACACATCCACCATCCCACGTTTTTCTTTTTTTCACTAGCAGGAATTGCAGTGATAGGTCTGCGCCAGACCGTACACAAGATCAATTCAACAAAGAGATTTAATATAAGCCTGCCTTGGCTTTAAATTTCCTATTGAGAACCTTAACCGGTTTGCACATACGGCTGGATAGCTGCAGAATTGCACACAAATGTCCACGTACCAGCTATCAACAAACAGAGATAGATATAGAATATATTTATATCATTTAGCCCTACGAACGTACGTGCTCATGGTTTACTGAGAACATGTGCAGAGGCCGGAGACATGGAGCCTGGCCAGTCCCTAGTTGTTGATCGAAAGGCAAGACATGTAACCGCTAGAATGACTCAGTTCAAATTCTATGGTAAACATAGTACTTCGAACTACCTCAGAATCAGAGTATACAGCTTAGTAAAAGTCCAATTCCCTAGCGAGCTAGGAGGGGGTTGGAGGATACAAGCCCCCGTTGGCCAGTGAAAAACCAAAAGCTTCCACCAACAATACTCAAGGTTTGGACCATGTAAATACATGTAGCTGATACTAATAAATGACATGTGCAATTAACCGAGATCTACTATCTCCTGTCATGCACAAACCAGCAGCCCCCACAAGTCGAGGCTTCTGCACTTGATCCCGGCTCAGGTGCATGTACTACGGTAGCACCCGCTATTCCATATGCATTGACTGGAGTATCTAAGCTTTTACAAAGCTTATACGACGGTAACTGTAGGCGTCGTCCTTATGCCAGTACAATGGCATTAGTGTGGCTCATGCGGGCAAGAGATAATGAGCTCCAGAAAACACGGCTCGTTATATAATCTGTTACCCTCCTGATAAGTTTCATTGACGTCTACTCTGTTTGTGCTTGGTCTCGTAACTCGGCCACACATTGGAGTCATTTACCCCAGATATATTCTCCCACCAGAATCAAATCAGTATCACCTCAGAACGTCTATGTCACTGGACTGTCTTTGCATCCCTTTGGTGGGATAGCAGCAAATATATCTCTGTCTTTTGATCTTGTTGGGGCCAATTTTATGTTAGTTCCCCAGAACACTCCAAAGATCGATATCACTGACAAACACATCAATCACTAGCTACTAGCTTCCCTAAACCCGGGAAAGCAGCGGTTCAAATAGTCCTCTACCTGCCCCTTTCCTTCCTGCTCAGGGTATTAAGGATTACGATAATGGCTGATTTCGGTGTCTTTATATAAGAGCCTTACGCAGCTGAATAGGATTTTAGACGTATCCTCTTGATCAATTGAATTACCTCATCAGCCCAGCTGATTTGAGTATGGTTGCACCAGCCAATGAGAAAATATTTACCCCTGCGTTTAGTCTCTAACCCTCGAGGTCTTCTTGGCGCAAGACGTTGGAGAGGGGGTTACCTCGATTGGCACCAATTGACTCCTTTCATCCCTATTGATTGCCGGCAGTGGTTGTCCCTTCGTCTGTATTCGGGACTTGTGGCAACCTGCGGCTCACCACACAAAATTCACTGCCTAGCTGGAAGCGGCGGTCGGCGGTGCAAAATTGTCTCCACTCGTCACGCAAAAATCCTCAATCGAGTAGTGCTTTAAACTATCGTCGTTAGATTTTGGTTCATCACGACGCTGTTTCCACGCTAATAGGCCGTGATTCGCGGGAACAGACGAAGGGATGTCCCCTCCAAGTGATTCAACACCAAAGTACTGTGGAGTTAAGAGAGACCTGGATTTGGAATAATGAAAATAAATCATTGCACCGATCGCAAGGAATGTTACAGGGATATTCAATAGTTGAGGTGAGCGAGTGACCGTCTATGATCTTATGCGCTCCAACCATTGACATGGATGTTCCAAACAGACAGAAACAGCCCGCATCCACCTACAAAATCCAGCCCCAAACAACATACCAGATCTCACACCCCAAGAAACCGGCTTTAGTTTCGAATTTTCATACAGTCATCCATAAAATATTTTGCTCGGCCGTGTTTAGACCGACCTCTCCGGTGCTACCGGACGCCTTAAGGCCGTCGTTTGTTTAGTAATTGGGCATGTTCCAGAAGGATCCATGATGCAGGAACGCCGTGACCCGTGCTTCCCTGTGCCGACAACTATCCAAATTGGGAAGCGCTAGGAAGGCGAGTGATTGTTTGTGAATGGGAGTACTTCACATAACAACAAAAGCATTGTTGTGCGTGGTTTTAACGGTGTGGTTTCAGTTACAGATGGACTGGGGAACGGAGGAGGTATTTACCGGGATTTTCTGGCCTCGTGGTTGGAGTTGAAACCCCCTTAACCTGTGTTTCTCGTGTAGGATTAGGCTAGCCTTTCACCAGCTTGATGTTATGAACACCCATGGCATACGTTGAGGTCGCCATAGGACAACTCCAAATCTATTCAAAACAGATATAACCAGTTTTTCAATCATCCTGAAACTCGTATTAGAGTTTGCGTCGGATGGAGAAAAGATCTGTTCGTTCTGTGGAAACCTTACTAAAGCTTAAAATTTAGACTTAAGCTTATTATCCAGAAAGCTTCTTAAATAAACCCCGAAACCTTACTCGTTTACATCTGCAACTTAAGCTTACGATAAGAAAAGCGCGAGAGACCGCATCTCCTCCCTGCTGCAGTTATCAAAGTCGCCGAGACAAAAGTTGCCATCTGGCCATCTGGCCATCTCGTAAGGCTCTACAAATAGGTACATGTGCATGTGTGCCTTCACTACACTCCCGCCCACAAGCCATCGTTGCACAAACCACTCACTGGACCGGAATGTGCAAAAATCTAATCGAAGTCCCAGAACGTGTAACTTTACGGCGGCTGTTTCGGGCATCTCATTGGCCAACAGCCCAAACCTCGCCTCTTTCTGACAGCGGATATGCAACCGGAGGGCTGGTACCCTAGAGAGTCTAACTCAAAATTTAAGCCCTGTGTGGGAGTGTGGTGGCTTACTGCGGTACTAACGGGTGGGTTTATAACTGCTCTAACATATTTTTAGATGCTAGACGGTGTCTTGCTGCTGCCTGGTGACAGTTATTTATTACCTGAGGGAGGTCACTCGAGTGCTCATTCATGAATAAATGGTCTAAAGAACCCAACGTCGCCCCCATACGTTTACCTGGGGTTCTAAATATTACTCAACTCACTGCATCTTTCTACTGGAGGCTAATCGTGAGTCGTGATACTAGGATAGCACTTGGGGCGATATATGGCGACGAGAAGTAGAGTTGGATGCATGCATGCATATTATTTCACTGGGCCAGCCAGCGGTTAACATGCCAGTCTAGGAGGAAGGGAGCCAACCTCTGCTCTACCAGGTACAGGAACCTCATCTCATCACCGTTTTAACGACAGCCAATAGGCAACCTCCTCAGTTACTGAGTCTTCTGTCCCCGCATTATCCTAGTTCTGTACTCTAACCAAGCAGGACCGTGCAATGTTGGTTATCGTCCCTCCCTTTCTCCTCAGTCCGACTTTCCGCACTCACCCGCACTAAGTACTGATCTTCTCATCCTCCCAGTAGTTTTCCATGTCTCAAACAGCAATAACGCACGCAATCAAGTCGCCTATTGCCTTGCCCTGTCTTGCCGTATTTCTATCTCATTAGGAGTAAAGCACATTTACGAGAGGGCACAGACCAAGTGAATACCAAGCAGCCGCCATGCCTACCGGCGCCTATTGATCTCGCCAAATGGGAGGGACACATCATGTGAAAGCGACTGAGGGAAATAAAATCTCAAGGCCATCCTATTAGTTACTTGGCCGGCCATAAGCAACGGCATTGCTGGCAGATAGATACCCACTTGTATTCTATATCCAACTGGCGTGGAATTAAAGACGCACTGCATACTAAGAGCAGGCCAAGCAAGATAAACAACTTGATAGTACTAGGCAGCACATCAAACACCTGAGCCAATTCCCTGGGAATGGCCCCATGGTAGCACAGTACCAGCTTAGTGAGGAAGGACAAATATTGAGACATATCTATGCCAAGCATCCGTCACAAAAGCCTCGACATTCACAGCGGTTGGAGCCTCGGTTACTCAAGTGTAAATGCTTCAGCAAGGAACAGTAATAAGAGGTGTTAGTTATTGCACTTTTCTCCCAGATCGGTAGAGACAGGGGGTCCTGCATGAATACAGTTGGTAGGTGAGGAGGAAAAGAGGAGGTTGCATTAAGCGTTTCTGGCTGGGTTTTAGCGAGGGTTCCTTTTGACAGCGGTGGTGGTATATAGGAGGGTGAATATCAAGTTGTTGAGGGGGTACAGAGACAGAAGGCCTTGAAACTTGTGTGGTATCACAACGAACCTCGAGACGTTGGAGGTGGTGGGTAAAATATCAATATCACACAGCTTCACATTGTGCCCATAGTTCATACTCTGAATGTTTAGGAGAAATGTTGCCAGTGAAGAAGTAAGGAACCGGTTTGCTCTAAGGCCCTTTTCTTGTAGGATGATGAGACGAGCGTCCCAGGGAACGTTGGAAATGTTAAACACTTGCTGCCGGAAGAGTGAAGTTGAACGCGAAGGAGAAAAGGTAGGAGAAGGAGTTGACGGCATTCAAAAGTGAGGACTCTTCCGGATTGTGGATCTGTATTCGACGCCCTCGAAGCCATCTTCTTTGTTGTTTCTTCGCTTCTATCAACTATCCACCGTTCTTTCTTTTTCTTTTCTATTGACCGCATTGCATTACCGCTGGCACGCTCGCCATCTACTTTTGGTACCATCGCTCTGGCAGCGTCTTTTTCATCTTTTTGAGTACCTGGCACGTGAGACAACAAACAACATAATTCGACATCCCACGATCTCTTTCTTTTTTCCTCCCGTTATTCAAGTCCAGGTAGGTTAGTTAGGGGCACAGTTGTATTTGAATTCTAAGCGCCCATACTTTCCCATCCCATCTCTCGTCGACCCCCGCGGGCCAATTCTCTGGGTTGTTAGAAGGCGTGGAAGGCATATCTAGGGAGACACTTCCGCTCACATCGATCTTTCTTTCTTCCATAGAGCATCTTTGAGAAGGTTCATATCCGGTCTGCATATATTGTTCTACAGCTACTGTTTTTTATTTCTTTTCTTTTCATTTCTTTTCCGACCCGACAGTGAGTATACCTTCTTTATCCATTGCATCTGTGCATCTCCGGGTATCTCGTCCCGCATGCAGGCAGCCCTTCTTTGTTTTCCGACCCAGACCCAGGCATGTGGACTGGGATTCTCTTTTGTTTTGACACGATGGGTGTGTATGCGATGAGCATACTACATACATACATTCGGCATGATATCATCACTGAGATCTGGAGTTGAGGGTGTTTTCTAGAATCTATGCTGACATGCAACCGTTCTTGTGTGCGTAGGAAACACCAGCTAAAGCCTAAATCCGAGCGGACTTGTTACTCTGTCCTACTTCGTGCTACTGTTACTGCTGCTACGACGACGACGCTGATCCACACAGCACCCTCGTACACACACGTGCAGGTAATTTTGGACTGGTTCCAGAAACACAGTGAGAAAGGAAAAGGAAAAGGGAAAAAAGGAGTTTAAGGAGTTTAATTCTGCCTAGCTACCGCTACGATACCGAGAACTAGACTGGCTCAACCACTCAACAGGAGTACCACTCACGTACCCTCGCTCTGAACACTCAGGCAGTCAGACTTCAGTCTAGTCAAACGCTCAACCACATTAATTAATTTGTTTATTCAACCATAGCCTCAATAATAATATCCACCGCTTGCTTGCTTTGCTCGCCCGCTGTCCCTGCGTGGGCCATTACAGATCTGTCCTCTTACCAGATCCCCTCGTCCAATCCCCAGGCTGAAGGAGAATCCCAACACGTCCACCCGCATATCACTCACTCACACCCCCCACAGTAACTGCAGCCTCCTGCTTCTTCGGGAGAGTTCCTCCACACGGAGTCTCTGGATAGAGAAATTAAACAACCGCATTAGTTCGCCCACCACCACCACTCACTCGTCTCAATTTTAATTCCCACACATCCTAAAAAAAAAAATGTTGAATATGTCATCTCCCTTGGCAAGCTTCGCCATGAGCACCGAGTCCTACACCGAGTCCTCAAGTGGGCGTCGTCGTGAGGAGGCGGCGGAGAAGGAGGAGAAGGGCACGGCTGTATCGGAAGCCTCCTATATTGTTAATCCCGTCGGCACCTCTCTGCACCCTCCCCAAGCTTCTTCTCCCTCCACCACCTCCACCTCCACCTCTACTAATCCTCCTCTTCCCTCGACGACTACTTATTCCGCCGCCCCCCCTCAACTGCATTTTGCCGATGATTGCAAACTCCCCTCCACACACTCGCCCAAACACACTCTCCACACCATTCCCCAGTCCGCCACGGCAACAGCCTTCCTAAAATCCCCCTCATCGCTCAGTACTCGCCGCAAGCCCGTGATAAACCCCCTCAGTGTCGACAACATCCCCCGCCAAACAATCCTCAAAGCGCTCGCCTCCCAGCGCACCCCAATCCCCGTGAACATTGCCGCAAACCTCTCGAGCGCCATGTCACCCCTCTACCAGCCCATGACGGGCCCCTGGTCAAACACACAGAACGACGACCAAGAAGACGGCCAAGAGCAGTTCAGCGACTGCGTCGAGCAAGTCTTTAGCCCCCCCGCAACAGCACGCTTCATGCCCCCGGGCGGCCTCCAGAGCCCCTGCTTCTACCACCAGAGATTCGACAACGCCGTCAACGTCGACCGCGTGCTCGAGGAGATCGCCGGCGACGAATTCACCTCCCACTCACGCCTCGTGCAGACGGCCCTCGGCGTCCGCGAGGTTGCACGACAGCTCCAGAGACGCACCTGTAAGATGAACGTGAAGAACGTTATGATTGTGACCAAGGCGCGCGACAACCAGCTGGTCACACTGACGAGAGAGCTCGCTCACTGGCTCATGAAGACGCCGCGCTATGGCGCCGATATCGGCGTCAATGTCTATGTCGACAAGAAGCTGAAGGAGAGCAAGCGCTTTGCAGCGCAGACGCTCGTGGAGGAGGACCCGCGGTTCAAGGGAATGCTGAAGTACTGGACACCCGATCTTTGCTGGAGCAACCCGGAGACATTTGATCTCGTGCTCACGCTCGGCGGTGACGGGACCGTTCTCTTCACCAGCTGGCTGTTCCAGAGGATCGTACCGCCAATCTTGAGTTTCTCGTTGGGCAGCTTGGGCTTCTTGACGGGGTTCCGGTTCGAGAACTATAAGGAGCACCTCAACAAGGTGTTGAATGAGGGGATGAAGGTGAACATGAGGATGCGCTTCACCTGCACGGTTTATAGGGAGGAGAATGGGCAGATGAATGAAGGGGATCAGTTCGAGGTCCTAAATGGTAAGCTTACCGGCCCCCTTGCCTCCCGAGGTTAATCACTCCACTTCTCGGAGCACCGGCTAATACTTCATGCAGAACTGGTCATTGATCGTGGCCCATCACCATATGTCTCCAACCTCGAGCTCTACGGTGACGATGACCTCCTAACCGTCGTCCAAGCCGACGGTTGCATCTTCTCCACCCCAACTGGTACTTACTCTCCTCCCATCTAATCTCTGACCCCCTCTGAATAAAAAACTAACAACCTAATCCACAGGCTCAACCGCATACTCACTCTCCGCCGGCGGCTCCCTCGTCCATCCCGACATCCCCGCCGTCCTCCTAACACCAATCTGCCCGCACACCCTCTCCTTCCGCCCCATGCTCCTCACCGACTCCATGCTCCTCCGCGTCTCCGTTCCTAAGAACTCGCGCGCAACCGCATGGTGCGCATTCGACGGAAAGGGCCGCATCGAGCTCAAGCAGGGCGACCATGTCACCATCGCAGCATCGCAGTACCCGTTCCCCACGGTGCTGAGCAAGGGCAGCGAGTGGATCGATAGTGTCAGTCGCACATTGAGGTGGAACACGAGAGCTGCGCAGCAGAAGGCGTGGGAGGGCAGCAGCGAGGAGGAGGAGGAGGGTGCACAAGAGGGAGGACAGGGGAGGGAGAAGGTTGTCGAGTGGGATATTGATACGGATAGTGGGTGCTATAGCGATGGTGGGAGTGGGAGGAGTAGCCCGTTGAGGAGGCAGATGAGTCTTTTGGGATTTACTTAGGTGGTGTTTGGTTGGGTTAGCTTTGGGTCTTTTGTCTTTTTCCCTTTCCTTTTGTTTTTAGCTGCGGGTGTTTTTGCTTTGGGTGCTTTTGTCTTTTTATTATTATTCTGGGGCTCTTGTGGTATTTGGCTTGTTTCTTTTGTCCTCGTCTTGCGGGTTAGGTATCCACCTCTTATTTATATCTCTTTTTCCTTTAGTCTATTATAGTCTGGGTTTGTTTCTTCTGTCCATTGTTTCTCAGTAGTTTACTGGCATTTGGTATTGAATGCCGCGCCATGAGGTCTTACTTTCTACTACTACATTTTATCCTTATATATTGTCTTGTCTCTTATCGGGCTTTTATTTGTCGTGGGCGTTGAGTTTAAATTCCTTTGATATAATGTCTGTGGGGAGTATGCTAGGAGAGGTTTTAAATGGTAAGTAAGTATGGTCTTATCCTAGGTTAGGTTATGAGAGTTGCTTTTTTGTAGTGTCTACTGTTTATATGGTCCGTTGGTTATTGTGCTGCGGCCGCCAATCATTGGGGTGTGCTTTATTTGTGCTGGGTTTTTAATTGGGTCTAGAGTGGGGATGGGGGGTATTGATTGATAAAAGATAGGTAGATCGAGAAGATCTGATAGTTAGCTATTGCTGTTGCTTTTTTGATATTGCTTTTTATATTGGAGGAGAGGTAGCTTAAGCTTAAGCTTAGAATCTGATAAAACATTCCAATTGGCCTTGAAGCTTCCAGTTCACAATGTCTTGGTATCTGTCGTTGGGTTTTGTCGTGTGTCTACTCTAGGATTCTGCTTGTGGGCCCACGAGATAGAGTGCAACTACTTCGCTCTATTGTGCGAGATCAGGATTGACTTGGTAGATGAAGTATAGCATCCTCTAATTGATGCTCTAATGCTATGGATATCTTCCAATTGTAAGAACATAGTGTCGTTTTTGTTGCCGTGGGATCGTTATCATTGACAGTACTAATCAATCAGTACGAGGCCGGCAGCACCCTAGAGCCTGCCCGGGAACTCTCGAACGGAATTGAGCACGAGAAGCAAGTAGCCTTGCAAGCAGAGCATGGTCGGTAACCCCAGCTGCTTGATGGGCAACAACACCACAACTACCATTACCTCATTCCATCACGAGTTTGAGCTGAGATGCGACAGTCCCCGGCACGGCCCCGATCTTCCTATAGTACCCCCCTCATGCAGACGGGATTTTTTCCCGCGGTAGTAGGAGTTGCGGGGTGCTGCTTATCACCCAGTTATCGGCGGCGCACGCAAAACTCGGAGTGGGATTAATTAGTTGGGCTAGTTAGTTGGGGAAAGGCGTGCTAACGTGTTCTGTGTCGGGTCCTTTTCTCGGGATCGGGGATGCGGGGAGGGTTGTGTGTGGCGGTGGGACGTGGGACGTGAAAGAGATGGAATAATATATATCCGGGCGAGAATTCGAAGGGTCTTGAGGGGTTTGGTGGGGTGAGCCGCTAGTGGGGGCGTGACATGCAGCATGCGGGTGAAGTGATGTGGGAAAGCGTTACCGTGACAATGGTTTGGTGATATGCAGCTGCAGGTAACTACCAGGAGTGTTTGTTAACGCTGATCTGATCGGCTAGTAATTAGTAGAAACCAGCCAGATTGTTAATTACTAGCGTATCATGTGCCATGCAACAATTGGAGAGAAAATTTTCAGGCTTGTTTGCTTGCAGGCCAAATAGTTGAGAAAGGCTCGCGTGGGTGTCTGATTGACCAAGTTCAAGGCGGCATTACTTTTTTGGCATCCATAGCAGAATATATGATAGTGGTGTGACTGGTCAATGATCGATCTGACTGGAAAGATTGGCCCGCTTAACACACCATCGCTAGCCATGAATTTGTCTAGGTACACAATCTAGACAGGCCAATCAGATGAGGCTGCGTTGCACGCGAGCTAAGTGGAGAATTTTTTGGTTTAAGAGTAGAAAACACCTCACGGCCTAATTGCTGGTCTTAGTGGATATAAGAGCGTGGCCTTATTAGGTGCTCCTACCCTCGATATGATGTCCTTAAAGACCTTTTCCTTATAGCTTGCGAGGTTAGATTTTAAAGATTCTCTGGTACCAACCTTTTAACCTCTACTAGCGATTTATGTGGTATTTTGGCAAGCTTAAGCTCGAAATATGTCAATTCAAGCCCTTTGAGCTCATATTGTATGACTAAAGTCAACTCTAGTCCTTAGGCTTCTCTCGGATCCAAGCCTGCAGTATCAGTCGTGGTCCACTCTAATTCTCATGATATAATCCATGAGATATTTAGCCCCAACAGTTGCATTTTTTGTCGGAATAACACAATAGCTGTTTATTGATAGGTTAAATGATGACCGAGTTTTGATTTCTGACTGTCCATATCTCGAAATTATGTGACCTTAGCGTTACGGGATAAACTCTTTTTGTACATAATTCGCGAAGCACACTTGATGAAATAAGATGTGCTTCATCATGTGGCTTTCCAATATGGAACTCCAGTTATTGAGGCATGCAATGAGAGGCCAACCTATTTCGTCACCTACGTTAGGGCAATTGCTGTCTTGATACCGAGGCTCGGTATTGGTCGATTAATCTTTCCATGTTTCTCTGATTTATGTCTCTTCTCTGTGCTTGATTCTAAAGATCCAATGCAGTGACTGGCTTGATCATATTATATCACTCGAACTGCTATGCAGTTGTAAAAAGGTTAATTACCGCAGAATCGTTACTTATCCGCACACTATTCGGGTATTTAACTTCCATCAAGAATCCAAGGCTAACCCCGTCCGCTGAAGTATTTTCTGCAGGGTCGAATGCCACCTGCCATACAGCATTAAACCTTTTTTTTCCGTGTCATACAAACTTTATGACGCTGTACAGCTGGAGAAGTATGTATCTGGTGAAAATTTCGAGGGGACCATCACATAAGCATGAAACTCATCTATGTGAGTAAAATGGTACTGAGTCCGTCTGTCTTGCTCTGACCGCTCGCTAAGACAGAGTATACGTATCATCCTTCGTGTGCATGCGCGTATAGTGTAGGTACACATGTCCTGTGGATCTATGATGTACTAGATGCATTTAAATGCATCTATACATGAAATACATAATATGTGTGTTTTTAGAGGTACCCATGATCATGTAGTGCAATAGTCTAAAACCCCCCAGGGTACCCAAGAACTCTTCAAGGACTGCGGGTAACCACAGGTACAGTCTTGAAGATATCTTTATGCAGCGTGCCGAATCTTGCTGGGTACGGAAAGCCACTTTGACGACGTTGATTCTCCCTCGTGTCAAGGACAGCACTTACAGAAGAGTTTCCCGTGGCTGCCCATTGCACGGTGGCCCATGCCGATGGCATTGCATCAGTTCGGTCTGGATATCCAGGTCCTCAATAGAGTACTGTTTGTTGTCTTGGGTCGGTGAGAACGGATAGCCGTGGAGCATGGTGGGGTTTGATAGAATTGAGAGGGTTGAGGGGTTTGATCGCCAGATGAGGTCTTCCGGCCTTGAGGCACCTATTCGTGCAGCATCAAGCTGGGCTATTTGTTTTGCTAGATGTTAAAAGGTCGTTTGTGATGAAAGATAGAGCGAAAGCAAGCGTATAGGAGAAGGTTAAGTAGGGAGGACAGGGAGGAAGGCAGACGTGAAGCGGTGTAAAAGAATTGACCACACGCTCGTGTGAGCCCCCTTACGCTAAAGCCACCGGCTGAGCGAATGTGCGACAATTCAAACGTATAGAGCACTTAATTGAATGACGTGTCAATTGCAAAAAGACACACAGTGGATGATATTTTGCAATACATCTGGAGCTCTAGTTTTCCAGAATCTTCAGTCTTAAGAAATCATCAACCGGCCAGCACATCACGTTTGAAGTTTAGTTCATTCGAACCTGGAGCCATGGCTGAAAACAACACACATGCCATTCGAACGAACCAGGTGGATAAGAATCATTCCAAGCTATAACGGCGGCTGTGCATGCGACTAGCTGGTTGTGCATGATGATGTTGCTTTCAACCGATCGCAACGAGGTATGTACAGAAGACGTTGCTCGAGATAAATATGCTTATTATGCTATTTAGTTTAAGCTGGGTTCATAATGTGACAAGAACATTTGAGAATCTCTGTGGTGAAGTCTCAGCTAACGTTAACTACTGGAAAACATGCCCCATTTGTTCCCCTTCCATCGGATTTACATATCCAGGAAGAATATCGCCTCACGATTAAAAGGCTATATAGGAGCTCATAAACCTCAAGTATAATTTCGGGTACTTGTTATAGCACTAGTTTAGCCATCTCACTGTCCATGAGGCCTCAAATTATCAGTGGATGAAGTATGAATGTTGCTCTGATTTTCACCCCGAATCCTATATGCACGCAAATAGCTGGTACAAAGAGTTCTTGAATTACTCTAGTAACCATCACCACTAACAATATCTATTCTCAATTAAGATCGATGAGTACTAGCGTTCAATAGAATGTATCAACTATAGATATCGATATCCTCTATGAAAGTCCCATACTCATTAGGGCAATATACTGACCCGGCACTCCAAATTACTCCTTCAATGAGGATGCCTGGCGATTGTTCTTTTATATAGATATCATTTGAGAAAGAATCCAGGGAAGAACTATACATATTTGGGAAATACGCAAAATCATGTAAACCAATCATTTCCATTCTGGGACAATGTCGTACACACGTAATATGTTCTTAACTTCTCCACTCCCCTCCAGTTGCCTCGTACCCATATGCAATCCATTGCAACCTAGGCTCTTAAAAGTGCGTATCAAAGTGCCGTCGGGAGACAGCATCACTTTTTCAGGTACCCATCCGACCTGGAAATGGTCTGTTCGCGGGGTCAATTATTGCATGTAGGGATTCGAATATTATTACTTTAGATATGTAGCTATAGTCTGATTTTTATAAAATCAGGGAGATTCCCCGGCTCCATATCCTGGTGTGGTATACATATAATGTATTCCACGTATAGTTTATAAACATCGCACCATCGGGCCTTGGCTTCGGGTTAATTGGGTTGGGTTCCTATGAGAAAGGATTCTAAAAAATCTTAAAGACGTTATTACCCCAGGGGCAAAGTCCCAAATTTCCAAAACACAGCACCCGCTAACACCAAATGCCCAGTATTTATCGCAAAGACCTGACTGACCCTCCTCAACATGACCAACCCACTCACCATACTTTTTTCCACAGTACCTCAAAACCAAACGAGAAACACAATGAAGCAGAAAATCAAAAACAAAATCGCAGCAATATACGAGCTCTCGGGGCTATCCAGGATCAACCTCACCCTGGAACCCATCCGCCAGAAGCTCTTCTCCTCGACCGACCAGATATCCACACTCTTAGAACTATGCTACTCCCTCGCCCGAATTTCCCCCGGCTGGTCGTCGAGCTCCGGGTTTCTGCAGGAGAAACACTTCCAGCAATCGCCCATCAAACTCAAAATCAAAACCCTGGGGAACAAAGTCGTCAAATTGATGCTGCCTGCCAGCACGCAGAGGAGTCCTGGGCCTTGTGTTCGGGAGGGGTACCAACTAGGAGATGGGTGTAACTTTAATGGCTTCATTTCCATGTTACCTGAGAGCTGCCGTGACATCTCCCAGAAGGCTAGTCCACTGGGGCTGGTCTCAATGCTGTTTCCGTATGGGAAGACAGAGGAGAATATGAGATATGTTGCATGCTGCTTCTGGATTTGGTTATGCGTTATTGACGGTAAGCAATGGCGGGCTCCCTCATGTTCGAAAATATTGACTTCAATCTAACGCCCCGCCCTGTCTACTACAGATCTGACTGAACATCTCGTTGGGGAAGAATGGGAACAAACCGGTTCGTGCCCCCACCAGCCATACGCATAAAAGAAAATGTACAGATAGCTGACATCTGAATATTAGAATCCGACCTAATGCTAGTATTCAACACACCCAGAGATTCCATGGACTGTCTTTACTACTTCAACAAAGACAGTGACGCCGTCAAAGTATCCCACGCACTCCGCACCGTCATCGACGAAACCTCCATCTACTACCAATCCGGGGTCGTTTCCGCTCCATGGAAAGTCGCTTTCAACAATGCAGTCAAGGAGGTCATCGCCGGGTTCAAGGCCGAGAGACCGCTTCTTTCAGCTGACAGAATTGAACTGTCTGACTGGATGCCCGTGAGGATGATTACAATTTCTGGTATATAATCTTAACTGTTTCCTTCGTAATTCCTCCTTTTATCTAAACTCTCCCAGTACTAATAGTGTACAAATAACCAGTACGCCCATTCATGATCCTCGCAAAGGCAAGCCTAAACCTCGACCTCACAATGTCCAACTTCGGCAACCCACTACGTGAAGACCAAACACCAGCCTCCGACCACCGCCGTGGCTACGATGCTACTCTATCAAAGGTTGAACGCCTCCTCCAACTCATCATGGGCCTCCAAAACGACATCCTAGGTAATATATCCCCAAACCTGCCCCAACCCCCCACCCCAATTCCACATTCACAGCCAACTAACCCCACCCTAGGCTGGGAAAAAGACTTCACCCTCTCCAACCCGCTCAACGCCATCCAAATTCTCATCCTGCACGGCGCCAGCCCCACCACCGCCTTCGCCGACGTCGTCGAGACGCACAACGAGCTCGTCCGGCAGCTCTTCCACTACGGCGAGCGCGCATGGATCGAGTCGCTGACCGCCGGCGACGACATCGGCGGCCCCGGCACCTACACGTACGGCGCGACGGTGCGCTCGAATCGCAGCAGCATTGCGAGCTTCATGGCGGCGCCGAGACAGAGGCTGATGCCCGATGAGGACGTGCAGAGGTATCTGGAGCTCATCATGGGCTTTGCGAATGGCATGGCGAGCTGGATGGCGGTGAGTAAGCGGTATGCGGTCTCGGCCTGACGGGGCGGTTGTGGGTGGGTGGTTGTGGGAAGGTGCTGTTTCCTTCTCTGGCTAGATGGCGAAGCTGGTCTGGCTGGTAAAGGCTTGTCTTTCGTTTTCTTTTAGTCCGTTTGGCTTATTGGCTTGGGGGTTAAAAGTTGTCTGTCGTAATTTTGTTGTCCACGGCCAGCCCGGTTTGGTGGCTTGGTCTTAATTGCTCTGTTTATGTGGTATGTCTCTTTTATATACACATGTAAATTTGATATAACTGTCGTTACCGATGAAGACAAAATACAAAATATTTTGTATTTGATAATTCTGCTTTGTGTGTGTTTTTATGATGAGATATCTGTATGTAACGTTGTAAACGTGCACTACGAGAGTTAAAACAGCTTTGTTCTGTCCGTTCGAATTGATGAGCTGTAGCACTGTATTGTTCTATAGCACGTACATATTCTGCCCATTTTCGTGGGGGCCAACTTGTGGGTAGTACTAGCAAATTCCTTGTCAATTAGTAGATTATTATCCCAATATATACCAACCCTACAATATCTTGCCCCCATCAAAGCTTCAAAAAGCGTCAGCACCAGCAATTCAACTAACTAAAACACCCAACCCACGCACCCAAATATCAGCAAAAAGAACTTTTCAATTGATTAACCCCTACCTACAAAAAAAAAAAAGACAAGACACCCCCAAATCTACTACCCTCAAGTCTTCCTATACACCCTAACCATAAACCTCATATTCTCCAACTCAATCGGATACCTCAGCCCCTCCGGCAGCCTAAACCACTTCGCATCCTCGCCCAGCACCTTCTCCCACACGTCTCCTGCCAGCAACGTATGATCCAGCAGCATCCCCATCGGGAACGTCTTCCCATTCACCAACACCGTCGAGTAACTCCCCGCGCTCTCCAGCACCAGCAGCAAGCACCCAGGCTGCACCAGCTCCTTGAGGGAGAGGAAGAAGTTTGTCGTTGCGGCGCGCGACTGCGTGTACAGCTCATTGGTGGTGAAGAGGAGGGTGATGAGGCGGGTGGTGGGCGGGATGAGCGGCGTGTCGCGCGGGGTGAGGATGTCGTGGTGGTGGAAGTCGACGCTGTAGAGGGTGGGCGGGATGTAGGCGGCGCGCGTGGGGGTGGGGGCGGTGGTGAGCGCTGTGGTGAGGGTGGTGGTGATGCTCGTCCAGTCGGCGATGTCGATGGCGGTCATATGTAGTGAGCGCGAGGGGGTGGGGGTTGTGGCGGGTGGGGAGTCAGAGGTGAGGGTCAATGATTCGAGGTCATTTTCGAGGCCTTTCGCCTCGTCTGGGCCCTCTCCAGCCTCTTCGGGCTCCTCGCTCACTTCCTCATCGCCCGTATTCTCCCCGGCCTTGCTTCCCTCTTCCTTTGCAATTGCAGGCGCAGGCGCAGCTGCCAGTTCGGCCCTCATCAAGCTCTTCACCGCCGCCGCGACAGCCACAACCTCCGCACCCGCACCTCCACCAATACACACAATCTCGACTTTCTCCTCTCCCTTGAGCTCAAACACCTTCCTGAGCGCCGGCGACAACTCCAAGAACACCTCGCGGTAGCACAGCGCCCTGCTCGGGCTCCACCGCACCACATACGCCTCGAGGTTCTCCTGGGCGCCGAACGCCTCCAGGAAGTCCCGGTTGAACAGATGCGTCTTCACCTTCTGAAGCAGCTCCGGCAGCTGCGGCGTGAACAGTGCGTTGAACGCATGGTGGAAGAGGTCGAGGATCTCTTGCGATTCCTTCGTATTTCGCGGGGGTGGGGGCGCGCGCACAGTGGGTTTGTATTTTGGCTTGACGGCGGCCTTGAGCGCTGACTTGCGGGAGCCGCGGCGGCGGTCGGAGGGGGTGGGGTTGTTGGTTGACATTGTGGATGGCGGGGTGGTGGTGGGGGTGGGGGTTTGGGAGCTTGAGAAGTATTTTTTTTTCTCTTTCTACAAGCGGTGAACTGGATCGCTTGTGGGATTTTTACATAACCCGCGTTTTATTTGGGAACAACCATATCGATCGTTCCTTTTGGTGGCCTGAATTGGGCCTGGGCGAAGTCAACAATGAGGAAATCGTATTGGAATTGCAAAGCTGTGAGAGGAGGAGTTTGCGATAAGAGAAGACAGGAGGACATCAAGGCTCAATTAAGGTCCTGAATTGGGAAATGATATATTTGCTGACTAACTAATGATTATATGGGACTAACTAACCTGGGAGTTGAATTGAAGATCTAGGACACCTTAGGCTTCCAAATTCCAATTCCAGCTACGATTAGAAATGATCCTAGACCATGGAGATCCTCTGCAATTGCAAATTCTTCATTTTAGTCGTCCGTGGTATACAAAGTCAAAACCAAAGAGAATCCCGTGGCTTGCCCTATCACAGAAACATACCCGTAAGGTTAACAAATAGTGTATTGAATCTCACAGTTACCTGAGGACTTGAAATGATTGGTCGATATCGTAGAGACGACGATAACGCATGCAGGCCTTGCTTGATAGATGATCGAATGGCCCTTAAGTTTGAAAGCCACGCATAATGTAATGTAGAGTAAATGACTTGATTGATTATAGAGGAAAAGTTCTCGGAGTACCGTCATGTCGTGAACTTGAAGACATGCCAGATAATCTGATATAGCTGTCAACTTCTCTCTAGCTACATGTATGAATACAGTGTTGCTAACCATTGACTAACCCTTATCGGCAGTCTCGTAATCTATCCTGACACCTTTGGTTTTGTTGGCCGAGGCCTCGAGCTTCAACTTCAAGCAGTGTCCCCAATAATGCTCGGACCGGCAGCTAGAGTGTCTTCTGCCTGACGCGTCATTCTGTCACGTGCTCGCCGGTGGAAAGAAGCTTTGTGTGAATAGAAATAGAGCACATCAGAATATCATGTTCGCCGGGATAGGGAATTACAGAGAAGACGCGGAGGGAGCTCCGCGATGTGGACTAGGGGTCTAGCTGACTGTGGATTGAGAGGGCCGGCGCATAAACCTTATCTTCTAGATCTGGCGGCACAGGCACAACAGATATGCTTATATTGGCTGTGGATCTCGTTCCTGAATATCGATTATTGGCATGTGGCTAGGAGGTTTAAGCTACGTGGTAAACAATTGAAGACATCGTTCTATTCTCATTGGTATTTTAGAGCTGTTTTCTGCCGTGCTCTTTCCATTGTAGCTGCTGAGTACTTCAAGTTGTTTCAACTGACATCCACCATCAATTCGATTCTAGTCCTTAGATCACAGCCCGTTTCGGGATCAACTAGGATAAAGACTTCGATGTTAGGAAGCAATTGCAAAGTACAAATGCCGAGAACAGGGCTCGTTATGGAATACGTATACATTCCAGAGGTTTGTTGTATAGACCCATATCCATGACAAGAGGGCAATGAGGTGTGTACAAGCTCAAGTCCCCCCAGCCTGGTAGCAATAGAGGATTCGACTCTAACAAATCAGTTGACGTCTGATCCAAAGCATCAATGCGTCAGCACACCTCGCAAAAGCTGCACTTCCCATTACGTTTAGTTTTCTGTTTATCCACCTCCTACCTTCTCTATCAGACGAATTATCTGTCCAGGCACGCGCGTCGTCGGAGCCTCAGAGCAGTCCAAGCATTGTGAACCAAACCAGCCTTGGCAGCGCAGCTCAATAACAGGATTCGTAGTTCTCTCTCAACAGGTTTTGTGCACTTCCGCAATGTTAATACGAACACCCCCTTTGAGGATTTTCGGTATCACGAGAAGCTTGTTATGCAAGGCAGAGAGGAAGGCACCGTGCTGGAGGTGACGATCTCACCGCCGAATTCCGGAGATGTTGAGGATTGGTTATTGGTTGCAGTATTTCAGGGAAGTCTCACGATTCCTGAGTATGTACCTACTCTACCTACATGGGGCACGTAGCTAGGCCTAGGTAGGTGGAATAGTACGATCGATTACATGGAGTTTGGTATCTACCTACTTGCTCTGGAGTAGAGCACAGTCTGTATCTGTCAACATGCTTCTACTTCACCTCCATGGGTTTTATGCATGCCCAGAAGAACGCGCGGATGCCAATGTTCTTCATGCAAGAGATCCAGATGCCATGAACATGTGGCGCCATATCCACGAAGAAGATCAGTAAACGTCCGCCGTACATGCCCAGACATCTTCAACATGTCAGTCAGCCCGACAAGACTACTAAGAAAAGAAACCTTGGGGGGTTCGTCTTCAAGGGAGAAGAAGGGAAGGGAAAAAACTTCACCAAGCTCCCGGGTTCCACGCGTCCGAAGTTGGTTTCCAAGACAACCAACCAACTTTGTGCAAAGGACCCGGCTTTGCAGAACCCGAGATGGAGTAGTGTGATAGTGATTGTTAGAGTACTTTGTATGTTGGGTCTCTCCTTTGAGTGTCAAAGGCCGACGGCCCTTCCCCTCCTTGCGTGCTATGTGCTTGCTTGCGTCTTGGAAAGGCTGCGCTGCCATACATCCTCTACGTATTTCGAAAGTGAATATTAATCACGAGGCACACTGTGCGCAACATCCGTCGGTACTATACTTCGCAAAGAACGACTTCTCTTGCAAGGAAAAAACGTTTGTGAAAGAATCAATTTCTTGAGAAGAGCTCCCAAATAAGTTTGACTGTTCCTGGAATTAAGAATAAGGATGACGTCTTGCCAATCATGACGCGTTACATAAGAACCGCCACATGCTGAGCCACGAGATCTGCCCGACATAGCCGAGAAAGTGGGTGTGGCGGTAGAGACAGGGGGGGTTTCCAGTCTAGGTGCTATGACGTTACCGTTATCCAGCAGCAGCCAGTGGAGCCTACAGTAAGAGAAGTGCTAGTTCCTTGCTATCCACAGGATTTTTTCGGAGCTGTCAGCCAAATACATAAAGAAGGGCTCATCCTCCACTGTTCTTTTCTTTCGGTCAATTCAACAAGAGTTTTAAACCTAAGTCTACATTCCACCTATCGAACACCACACATCCACTCACTAACTAAACACTCAAAACCTAAAACATCACAATGGCCTTCACTGCTTCGTGAGTTTTTTTTTCTCTCCTTTGGCTGACTAGCTGGAATTTCTGCTCACATGCGCTCCCCCTCAGTGATATCTGCAAGATCCTTCTCGCCATCCTCCTGCCTCCTCTAGGTGTCTTCCTCGAGCGCGGATGCACTGGTGACCTTCTGATCAACATTATCTTCACATGTTTGGGATACCTGCCCGGTATCATTCACGCTCTGTAAGTTCTTCTTCTTCCTATTTTCATTTTGCTACTACTATTCTAGGGGTGCAGGTTTACTAATGTTATCATTCCAGATACATCATCTTCAAATACTAGACCAGCGTTCCCAAACCATCGTCCGTACCCACCACTCGAACGATAAAGGCGTATTCAGCATGGCATAGTTTGGGGAGGGAATTTTAATACGATAATCCAGCAGGCTGCTCATCATACGACCAGCCTGTGCTGGGAACACAAACACACGTTCTCTTTCTTCTTTTTCCTTTTTACGTGGTTACTTCTTCATATCCTTTCTCGATCTTGTTATGGACGGCTTTTATCTTTCGGAGCGTGAAATTCGGGGCTGGGTTTTGGGCTTTTTTTTTACTTTTATTTTTTACTGGTAATTACTGGTATTGGGTTTTTTTCCTTTTGTATTTTTGTATGACTGTAATGAACAGAAATGATGCGCTTTTACTTATTTTATTTATCCCAATTCCTGTGCACGAGCTGTTATCGTTATCGTGTGATTGTGCTGGAAATAATAATAAACCCTTTGTTAATTTCAGCCGCACAATGCAGCCATTAAAAGCCCTATTAAGGGTGCGGGCGGAACTGATTTGAAGTTTGAAGGAGAAGACACTAGAGCCTTGAGGATTATCTCTCCCAGCCAATGGCTAAACTGCACTTCCTGAACCAGTGGAACATGTCAGGGATTCACAGTTATGCTCTGTCTATCATCGATTCTTCAAGCACGGGCTGTAGAACGGTACCTGCTGCAAGTAAAATAGCTAGAAAGACAGAGACCCTGTAGAGTTAGGCACTCGGAGTGCACGAGTGATCGTATCGTGCAATCCACATGGCTGGGTTAGGGTTGCCATGTTGCTACGGCCCGCACCCGACTTGACTTTACGTATGAGCCAGCCCCCCCTGGAGCTAGTCTCGAGGCAAAAGGGAAGGTTGAGAAGAAGAGGAAGAAGAAGAAGAAGAACTGAGAAGGGAATCACCCTCTGTCTCTCTGTCCTCTCGATATCACTGTGACCTCTCTGTCCTCTTGTTGTCTTCTCACTCCTTTAATTCTCTCATCTCATCTCCTCTCCTCTCCTCTCCCTCTTTTCATCCCCAATTGATTGTTGCATCTCGGCTAGATAGAGATAGGGACTGGCCAGCAACTGAGACATCGACACCCCCCTGCCTGAGCTTGAAGAAGAAGCAGCAGCAGCAGCACTATCTGAGTAGCAGTAGTAGCAGCAGCAGCAGTTGTTGAAGAAGCAGAGCAGACGAAGGGACTGGGCTGAGATTGGACATACCTGTGTGGTAGTTAACGTTGAGTCGTCGACTTACAACCACTCACCACTCACTACTAACCAAACCACCACCACCCCGCTCGGTCAAGATATAAGGCCAGCCTCCCCAACACCATCACCACCTAACCACCACCACCACAACAGACAACACCCAGCCAGCCAGCCAGCAACCATGCGTATCTCACACGACACTCTCTCGCCAGACCTCATCCACCTTCTCTCCGCCTTCACGACGACCTTCGCCTCCACGGCAAACTCCTTTCTCACGCAGGAGTCCGTGCACTCTGAGCCCTTCAGCCGCGTGTGCGAGCTCCACACCACGCTGCTGTACCTCTCGGAGTCGCCGCACCCCACCGCCCTCCTCCAGAAGCTTGGCGGCAGAGGCGGGGACGGCGATGGGGACGATGGCGACCTGAAGCACGCGCAGGAGCTGCTGGGGTTCATGCTGAACGCGGAGTTTATGCTGTGGGAGCTGTATCGCGGGCAGGGGTGCAGCGTGCTGGAGAACCCGAGCTTGTTCCATTGGGTCACGGTGGGGCGCGAGTGGGAGAGGAGGGAGCGCACCGCCGAGTGGGGCGTGAGGGAGAAGGTGCTGAAGATTAGGGTGGCGTTCGTGAGGGGGATTCTGTGTGAGGAAGGTCCGAAGGTGAGTTGGCTCTGCTCCTTGAGAATGTTGTGAGGGAGAGCAATGTGGGCTGATTGATGTGTGGTGATAGTTGGCAGAGTTCACGCCTCACGATTGTGCGTCCCGTGGCCTCGACTTCCCCGTCGACCTCTCGGCATTCATGCCTGCGCTGCATGCTCAGGGCATCTATGATGACTACGAGGAGCCGGCGGCCGCGGCGGTAGAGCCACAGCCAGAGCCAGAGGAGCCAGAGGAGCCAGAACCCTCCTACAGCAGCCTACTCGAGAACTCGACCGACGAGTCCGGGTACTCGTCTGCGGCCTCGCCTCCAGCGACTCCCACACCAGCCGACCAGCTGACGGCGCTCCTCCTCAAGGCCACGACGGACCAGCTCCCCACACCGCTCACCCAGCATCTGCTGACGCACCTCTCGACCAATCGTAGCCTCCTCTCAACCTACCCGCTCGACTTCCTCTCGGTGTCTACGCTCGCCGCATATGTCTCCTGCAATCCAGTCCTGGCCCGCGGTATTGTCGTGCTCCTGCTCGAGGCTACGTCGCTGGCGCGGCGTGCGGAGGTGCTAGGGACGCTTGCGGGGCTGCCAGTAGCACTCGGAATGTTGGATCTAGTGAACCGCGTGCTCATGGAGGTTGGTCTTCTGGGCGCGCAGGAGAAGAGCCATCTGCTGCACGGGTACCTCAACAATGCGATCCGTGCAGCTGAGGAAGAGAGCGGTGGGAAGCGGGTCCAGACGAGGATCGTACAGTTGATTGTGCTGTTCGTAACAGCGCTGATCAGGGGCGAAGTTGTTGCGCCGGAAGAGGTGTTTTACGAGGTGCAGGAGCTGGGCGTCAGGTTTGCGTGGGTGAGGGAGGCGAGGGAGTTGTGGAGAGGCTTGTGTGCGGCGACTGAGGGCGAGGTTTAATTTGGGTTTGGGGGTGTATTATAGTTACGTCTGTTTTTTTGTGCGCTGGGAGGACGTTGTTCTCGTTGGAGGGCGGGATGGTAGGTATGATAGGTAGGTAGTATCTCATATGCGGGATCGATTGAGAAGGGTGTATTTATTTATCTCTTCCTTCTTTTTTTTCTTTCTTACTTACTTTACTTTACTTTATCCTCCCATGGATGAATTGGAAGGATGGGGGATTTATTATATCGATCTTTCATCCTCCTTCCTTCCTTCTTCTTTCTTCCTCTTTCTTCCTTCTTCTGGTATTCTTATGTCTGCACACGACGTAACGACGCAACGCTTCTCTTTTGTTCTTTCTCTCTTATTATCATCATCATCATTATAGGTCGGGTCGGGTCGGTCGGTGTTCTGTCCTGGTTCTTAATCATCAGTTACTAAAAATGGAGGGGCTGTAAAAGTTTGGGCGGTAAGATATGGAGGCATGGGATAGGGTGGGATCGGGATGGCATCGGGGTGCGGATTGCATGGAGTACTTAGTGTTACGGTTGGTGGTTATGGTGGTAATTAGAGGTTGGCTGGCTGTGTATATTCTTTATCTTTTGTGGTGGCGGTTGTGGGTTGTCGGAGGAGGGGTGAGGGAGACGGTGAGGGAGTGGAGGGGAGCCGGTGAGGGAGACGGTGAGGGAGTGGAGGGGAGCCGGTGAGGGGCCGGGGGAGGAGGGAGGGGGATAAAAATTGTGGATAGTATAGTAGAATAGGTTAGATAGGGGCGGTAATGTGATTGGGTCTAATGTTGGAGCTTACTGCGTCTCTTGCGTGCTGTGTGTTGCGTTGTGGTGATTTTATGGGGTGGTAGTGGGGGGAGTGGGTTCGGGTGGTAATGGTAGTGGGAGTGACGGATGGGGGGTGGAAATGATCGATATGCCGTATTGATGGACTTGGGGTTGGTCTGTAGGGACGTTGTCCAGGGTGCGGGTTTGTAGTAGGCAGGATGATAGGAGATAGGAGACGGGATTCGTAGAGGTAGTGGGAGAGTTGGGAGAGAGGTTGCAGACTCGGATGGTAGGAGGATTGTAGTCGTGGGTTGAAGGTGGAAATTGTGGGTGCCGGCTACTACACCAGACCGGACCAACGGCAACTTAGGCAGCTTAGTTAGGACTCCGGGGTAGAGCTTCTAATAATACACATATACGGCAGCAAGAGAACTGGTTAGCTGTAATCGTCTTTTGTGTTTCTGTTGAATTCAAGCCTGCGTACCTATGGAGCTTGGTTGTGAATCGTTTATGAACTGTCTCCTCAAGGCCTCTCTCTACAGTGGGGCGGTGGTGTTTCCTAGCTCTAGACAGTTATAGTTATTCGAGTAAAAGGTCGGGAATGGGTTTTTCACTTGTGTGGGAATAGTAGCTGACAGCTTGATATACCGATTCTCCCACTAATCAGAAAGTCGTGGTGAGTAAATGAGTCAATGCTATAAATATCTTCTATATTATATGGCAGAAATATACCTGGAAGTGACGGTCGACGAGACGGAGATACAGGTCTGATCTGTGTCAACTCTATCTATACCCCAGTACAGTGGCGATGTACACGGCCAACGTACCACTTGCACTTAGCAAGATTAAGTAAATCATTGGTATCTCTCAGACTTATAGGCGGCACATGTACATATATACTCATCTATCCCTCTATAATCCAGAATCTAGAGTTTATAACCTACCCGACACGTACCACCCAAGGCCGGCTCATACTTCCTTCCCCGTTCTACAGTTCACTGCAAGGCCAAAGACCCTCGGAACAGATGGCCAAGCTGAGGGCACTAGAGATCGTGAGATCCGGTGTCTGTAAATGCGAGTGATCCTGTATGGTTCTGGGAATGGTATCAAAAGTGTGTGATTATCATTGATACAGGTAGTCCTTGGAACCTTGGCGTGCGGTCTCGGTAGTTGAGATTGGGGTTTTAGGGTGAAACTGTGGTTGGTTTAAATCAATTTTGAGAAATACGGGGCTTCCTGATCGATCAAATACTGATCTGTTCGATTCTGTATGCACTAGTACTGTGCCAAACACTACTAGCAGACTCAACCCACACTCATCAACACCACAAGCTATATATCCTACCTCTTAACTCCCCTAAAGACCACGACGGAACTACTTTGCACTACACACCGCACCACGCCGGGACCCACCCCACGCACGCTAAGCTAAGCGGCGTAAAAAATGGAATAAAAATCATTACCCTACCCACACATCCATGCCTCGCTAGCTCAATCGGTAG